GAAAGTCTATGCTTGGCGCCGGAGAGTCGTCTGTCGTCAGATAGCAGTTTCTATAGTCACAGCAGCGCTCTCAGTACCAAGAGCAGTAGCGGCATATGCCCCGATTCGACACCCGAAACTCCAGATGATTCACTGCCACCAAGTAATGTGAATGATGATCAGTTGAATATAACAACCATCGTTTCATCTGGTAATATAACTTTCAATGGGATCGCGGAAACAGATCCATTTAATAAAGTAATACCTGAAAGTAAGTACAAATTACATTAGAAGCGCTTTAAACTTTTTTGTGATTTTATTATTGAAATTTATTAATTTCATGAATATTGTTTTTAGTTTTCCAAGATCCTTCGACATTTGATTTCTTGTTAGCACGAAGTAATTCTACGCATACAAATCGCCTTAGAAAGGAATCCTTGTATGTTAAATTTGACCCTTTGGTATCGAACATCAGCATGTTGCCTCAAGGAAATACCCAAACGATAAACGAAGAGAAAAATGTCAAAAATGAGCCGCCACTTGATGTCGGTACACCAAAACATAATCCTGCCATAGCAGCTATAGGCGGGCTGAATCCTCTTCCTAATGCAACAGTGCAAAAGTCACCGGAAGACAAAAATGTAGGTAAAAGTGTATTAGGAAAAAGGTACGCTTGTATCCTAATGCGTTTTTTTTATTTTCAGAGCGGCAACGATAGTCCCGTGACTGTCCCGAAGACAACAGAGCATGAGAACAAGGTTCATTTTGCCCGTGAGTTTGCCGATGTAGGATCGGTCACGGAAAATCTATGCTTGGCGCCGGAGAGTTGTCTGTCGTCAGTTAGCAGATTACTCACGGAGCTTAGGGATCGAACAAGACAAAGCAAATTGCAAGCAGCGTTTAATGACGTACACGAAAAGTACGAGCGACTTAAAAAAATTGTATCGATATATGAAAGTGAGAAAACTGTATTAAAAAAAAATATCCACGAAAAAGGAGAAACCATAAAAACATTGGAAACACGATACGATAAACTAGAAAAGTATGCAATCAACATGTGTAGATATAGAAATATAGATAATATCGTTTGTATAATATTTCTCGCGGGAAAACATATATCACACATATTAATATATATTTTAATATATTTTAGAGCTAATTTGGAGTTGGATGGAATACGAAAACGTGATGAAGAGGAAATACTGAAGCGGCATGCGATGATAAGGAGAGCAAAGCTTAAAAACAATTTGCTCGCTAAGCTTGTAAAACAGGAAAGAGAGGAAAAAAAAGCACTCGCGGAAATGTAGGTATAGAAATATAGATAATAACATTGTATAATATTTCTCGCGGGAAAACATATATCACACATATTAATATATATTTTAATATATTTTAGGGCTGATTTGGAGTTGGATGGAATACGAATGCAGAATGAAGCTGAAATACAGAAGCTGCATGCGATGATAAAGAAAGCAAACGTTAAAAGCAATTTGACCGCTGAGCTTTTAGAAAATAAAACCAAGATATGCAACGAATTCAAGGAAATCCTAGACGGAATTATCGCCAGGATTGAGAACGATGACGACTTTGAATGAAAATTAAGTATCGCGATTATGGCGCGACTAGTCTTTATTTTTTTACTTGTCCTTACTATCTTAAATACAAACTTAAATATGTTAGATACGAAAGTTATAGTGTAAACACATGTCGGTTAAAGGTACAAGCACCTATATATTTGGTCATTTTAATGTCCTGTTTGCCAAAAAGCAAATTTTTAATGCAACTTGATGAATTTTACTATTAATTGTACTAATGAGTACTGTCAATCTATTGGCCTGGTATCGACCAGAAACAGTACGTTGGCTAGTTTTAACATGCGATCACTTGTACTTCCCGGTTTCCGCGGAATAGTTCGATTTTCAAGATTAGACATAAATCTTTTTATTGTGCGTGCCAACCCAGCAAACACAGAATACACCGAGTAAGGTGTATGCTGGGAAGTGTATGCTGGGAAGTGTATGCTGTGTTTGCTGGGAAGTTTGCGGCGTATTGTTTAAATTTTGGGTGACTCATGCCAATTCCTTTGCTTCGCAGGGCCTCCGCAACCGTCCAAAGTAATTTCTAGAAATAAGCAAGAAAAATTATATTGTCAATGAGTATAGTAAATAGAAAACTCAGCTAATACAAATCTTTTTATGAGTATTGCTCAGTTTATTCTTTCCTTGATTGAAAGACGTTTCATTTTTCGAGAGAATACTACTCGATGAATGTCTATCCCATATAACCTTTGAAGTATTCTTTAAGGACGTTCACCGGCAAAATCGTTTTCTTAGAAATTTTTTTAAACTTTCAGTATATTTTTAATTAAACGCGTTTTATACGTAGGCGTTTTATTCAATGCCCCTTGCGGTACTAAAATTCGAGATATTCAGCTTCAAAGTTCCGATTATTTTTTTAAACTTTCAGTATATTTTTAATTAAACGCGTTTTATACGTAGGCGTTTTATTCAATGCCCCTTGCGGTACTAAAATTCGAGATATTCAGCTTCAAAGTTCCGATTTTTAACACGGGATCCCTATTTTGAGCTCTCTCGACACGGACATTTTAATGAATAATGAGTACAGTTTTCTTAGAATTTTTTTAAAAAAATAGTATAAGATGCCTCATATTATTAGTAACGTGTGACAATAAAGTTCGATATAGCAAGCGGTATTTATTTTTGAGAAATAGTCGTCTAAAGAACACTATCGGACATAATTTTCGTCTGCTCGGAGGCAGGAAGAGGGAGAGATCACTGCGAGACTTGGCAACGTTGCTACCGCTGCGACATATAGGTTAAGTAGAGAACGTCAAGATCTTATGGGGAACGTTATTTAAATCAAGTTATTTAATCTTTTTTCTTTATGATTCATTATTATTTACTTTTAGAATGCTCAATAAACAAGTAGAACGTACTCATTTATGATTGGTATTGGAGAAATGGAAACGGAACAAAAATTTGCCAGATCGAGTAAAGTTGCGCGGCTAGACGAGTTTCAGACTTTTGCGCACGGAAGTAGTTGTCAACCATATCATTACTCCGTGTGTCTGACGGATGCGCGATTTTGTAGAAAAAATCGATATCGAAAGAATCGATAAAAACGAAAAAAATCGATACTAAATAATCGATTGTTGCAAAAAAAAATCGAAGAATCGATATATCGATAAAATATCGATTATTTTAAAAAAATCGAAGTATCGATATATCGATTATATATATACATTTTTTTTTAAATATTTACAAACGGCAATCAAAAACTGAAAAAGAGAACCGTTTAAAAAACTAAATTATTTTTATAATTTTTTAATATTAACAGTGTTCTGCATATGAGTTCATAAACATTATCTGTCAGGCCAAATGTGACAATTTCTTCGTTACTGTCTTGCTGACTGATCTTGTTGAGCACCTCCAGGCAGGATATAACGATAAACCTGTCCTAGGATTCGATCCCCTTGGCCACGCACGTTAAGACGACGTCTGTTATCCTCTCTCCGGCCTCCTTTAAAATAACTTCGTTCGCAATGTTCCCTAGTATGTCGAAGACGAGCTGATGCAGATTTGTGCAAATTGTTCCACCTCGCTCTCACGCACAGCAGCACGAATCGCAGGAAACACCAGTTTCTGCCTAATATCGTCGCGTTCTCCCGGTTCTCCGGCGTGAAGCTGAGGTTTCGTAGAATCGACGCGATTTGCAGCACGCGTTGTCCATACGGATCCTGCGTGCCTAAAGGCTCCCACAGACCGAACGCGTCAAGCGTCAAGCAGCGAGCAGTAACCAATCAGCGAGACGATATTTTCTACGCCACTGCTGATATCACCTCACTTCTTCTTCTTCGTCTGGTTATTGGCACTAGCGAAAATCACCTTCTCGGCGTGCAACGGCCATTATTCAATTCGTTCGTAGGCTCGCAATAGTTATTTGTGTAACAAGTGCGGGAAGTTGAGAATTGGACACGAGTGCGGAGTGGACGCACGAGCCGAAGGCGAGTGCGATCACCCGCACGAGTGTCCAATTCTCATCCCGCACGTGTTACACAAATAACTATTATATCACACGTGCGTGGAAAGTATATAAAATCATAGTAAGACTTCAGACTCGAAAATGTGTAAGTGTATGTGTGTATGTGTAATTGTACGTGTATGTCCGCGGTGTCTTGAACTCGGTAATGCCGTAGGTGCGTTAGGCCCAAGGAACTGCGCGGATCACTTCCCCCTGCGGCCATATCACCTCACTGATTGGGTTCAATTGGGTTGCTGCTCGCTGCTTGACGCTTGACGCGTTCGGTCTGTGGGAGCCTTAACGCTCGACCGGACCGACGCAAAACAGATCCTTGTCCTCTTCCTCGAATTTGATGGAATTCTGGTTCTGATCTTTCAAGTTCTCGTCCGAGTGCACGACAAGCGAATCTAGCCGTGGGCAATGAGGTACCACTTCGACGTCAATCAATCGGCGGTGTCGGTTCCTCGTTCTCCGTCGTCAACGCAGCAACGTCCTGCTTGCTTTGCTTCTCCAGCTTCTCCTTCTCGAGACTTCGAGAGTCTTCCGTCTAGAGCTAAGAGCTAGAGAAGGTCGGCAGACTGCTGGGTGGCTTCTTCAAATTTCAAATTTCTCGCGTGTCGTAGGTCGCAGGTCGCAGTATCATGTTTATGGCTCTAGCACACCAGCGCGATTCGCGACGCGCGATATCCAATGAGCGTACTGTTTTTCCGGAAAAACTGTACGCTCATTGGATATCGCTCGTCGCGTCGCGCATTGCGCTTGCGCGTCGCGAATCGCGCTGGGGCCCTATTCTCGAATCGTTTTCATGAAACTCGCATGCGAAATTCAATGCTTTTCAAATAGAAAGTCGCATACGAAAATCATTAGGGCAGGCTCGAAAATACGGCCCCTATGCTGGAGCCATTACGCGTATCAAATAATAGTAAATAACTAGCCGCTTCGACGAGCTTCGATGCCTTCGATTGGCTTCAGCTTCGCAGACAGTATAGCAATCGAACGTGATTGGCTCTTAGTTCTAGATCGAACCAACAATTACACTATTTGCACTAATAGCAAAAATGAACTTAGCTTATCAAAAGAATAATATGTAAAAAATCGATATTCACAAAAAAAACCGAATATCGATATATCGGATTGCAAAAACATCGGACAATAATAATCGATAAAATCGATAATAAAATCGGACGTTTCGATTAATCGGTCAACATCGCGCATCCCTAGGTCGGTCTCGTCACTCGTGACACTCGTCACTGACGTCACTCTCGCACTCTCGTCGGTCAGTCCCCAAAATTACGTTTTCGCGCGCGGACGTAAGTAAAGGATGCTAAATAACACCGCATATGATGAACGTTCGATTAGTTCCCCGTGAATATCTCGCGCTCGAATGTAAGGCGCACCGCGCACCTCGTCTTCGTCCCCGCTTCACGTCGTGCGGTGTGGCAATTGTTCCGAAAATTAACGCAGACACCGCGGACACTTTCGCAGCACCTAGTCAAGTAACAGTCCGTCGTGAAATAATTGAAAACAAACATATTACAACATCCCAATAATTATAATAATATAAAATACGATTTTACACGCACGATTTAATCGTATTTAATTATTTACTAATTATAAAAATATCACTAGTAGTGCGGTTGGACTTGATTCTAACCTAAATCGAGTTCAACCGCACTGCTATTGTGATATTCGTGTCGGGGACGCGGAAGAAAAGTATTGGCCGTCGTTCGTCGCTGGCACATAGAAAAAAATGTGAACAATAATGCAATAAAGGCCATCGCGCACAAAATGCATAGACTGAGTTTCTAAATTTATTGCCAGCGCTGAAAATCTATAGTACACGTGACGTAGACTATATAGATTTTCAGCGCTGGCAATGGATTTAGAAATTCAGCCATAGCTTAGCATAAAAAAGCCATTGCATGTAACAATGTTTTAGTTGTAATCGTAAGGCCGTAAAAAAATAGACCACGCACACTCGATTATTCTTCAAGCGCGAGAAGAATAATCGACTGTGCGTGGTCTATTTTCTTATACGGTCTTACGATTAAAACTAAAACTTGGTTTACGTGCAATGGCCTTAAGCGTAACATAAGAACCGCTAAACCAATGAGCATCCAGCCTAAAGTCGCCATATTAATTTACATAATAAGATGCTCATTGGTTTAGCGGTCTTATGCTATGCATATGCAGCCTATGCAATTTTGTGCCCTTGACTATAGTAAGCAATTAAATCGATCGATCACAGCGTTGAGATCGAGTTTTTAAAACGGTGGACACGCGTTTTCGACAATGTTCAAACGTGATTGACCGATTCCCTTTCCGCTTAGGTTTATTTTCTATTAAGATCAGGGAGCGACTAGACGGAGGAATTCGAAAGCATGATCGGCTACATTCGCCCGAACTGCCCGAAGCCTCGAACCACTCTGAACGTTGATGAATGTGAACTCTGGAGCGTTTTACCAGAAACCGGAGTTAAGGTGATCCTAAAGCTGTGATCCTAGCCGGTTTTTTTCGGTTTTTTTCTTAGCACTAATCTTTTAATTGGCTTTATAGAAATGCAAAATTCTTGTCTAGAATTAAAGTACGCATCAAAATCTAGGTCATGGTGGTCGAATTTATATGTGGTGGTCGTCACGTATAACCAAAAATATTAATTTTTTTTCGTTTTCGATATAAATTCGACCACCATGACCTAGATTTTGATGCGTACTTTAATTCTAGACAAGAATTTTGCATTTCTATAAAGCCAATTAAAAGATTAGTGCTAAGAAAAAAACCGGCTAGAATCACGGCTTTAGGATCACCTTAAACGCCAGCAGTCGTGAGGATAAACTCGTTGCCCCGTCGCGAAGGGCCGAAAGTGTGTCGTGCGCGATCTCGATTCATTGCGTGTTCACGGGATGACTGTGTAGTGCGTAATTAGCTAGCCCTCCGGGAGTCGGAGACGCGTGCGCGCGGAAACGTGCCCGCCCGGAGCGGCCGACCGACGACGGGGCACGTTCGACGATCCAGTCTATCGCGCTAATTAGCGATCGCAATTAGTTATAATTGTCCGGTCGATTCGCGGTCCGTGCGCGCGCGATTGAGTGAACAAGGCGACGG